GGAGCTGTTCTACACTGGGGGAGGGGTTCCTTCTCTTCTGGAAGGCCTCTGTCTCTTAAAAAACCCTGCAATCATATTCCCCCCCCCCCGCTTGCACACACACACACACCCCGCACCTCCAGGAAAGTTATAGTTTAATGGGGAAAGGCTGGACTTTGGCCCAAGGGCGACTCAGGGAAGCAAAAAAGCCTTTCTGGAATTGGAGGTGCGGAACGGGGGGGGGGGGAAATAGGAAGGCCCCTCAAGCGAGGGTTTCTCCAGGCCCCCCTGGGAAAAGGCCCGTATTCCCCCCCCTCCTGAGTTATCACTCCCTGGTGGAAAGGGGGCCGGGAGCTGCATTGCTTAGGATGTTGCTGTGCTGTTAGGGGCCGGGGGGGGGCTTGCGGTCTGGGGTTCAGTCGCTGGGTGCCCCCCCTGCCTTCCCTGGGTGGGTGGGCTCTCTTCCTGGCCTGGGAAGGCACCTGCTGCCAGCCTCCCTTTTGACCTGAAGGCTTATCTTGGTCTACTCCCCCCCTCACCTTCAGGAGGGGCTGGGAACGGTCTGGAAGCTGCCAGTCCACTCTTGACCTTCAGTCCCTCCCGGCCTTTACACTCGCAAGCACCTTCTGAAGCCGAGGGGAGGGGGGAGGGGGGAGTGGCTTGGCCAGGCGGCTTTCGCACTCGGCTCCTGGGCTGATGTATTAACGGCAGAAGGGAATCTCCGCTGGTCCCGGCTGGGCTGTCCTGGGCGCCCTCCCAGCTGGGCTGTCGTTGTGACCCAACTAGGGAAGCTCCTCAGAGCGGCAGGGACTCCTCCGGGCGGTTAAACCCATGAAACCCAGAATCCATCGTCATTTGCTGGAGTCGGAAGGGGTGAAAACTTTGGTGGCGTCTTGATGGCACTTAAAATTCCAGGGAATCGGCTCCAGGGAAGATTGCAGCTGCGTCCAAGTAGGGGAATGTCAGCCCCTCCGGGAGCCTCCATTGGCCTCCTCCCCAAAGGCCCTCTGCCCCCCAGAGCCAGGGTTCCGGCCACCCCGGCCACCTGACCCATCCAAGAGCCGGCCTCGTCGGGTCAGGAGCCGGGTGGTGGGTGCCCCTTTGGCCGGCTGGCCAGCCTGTCCGAGCTCCGCTGGGGACTTTGGGGGCAGGGCGCCTACCTGCTTCCCCCGTGTCGCTGGGGGAGGTTGCGTTATTCGGCCTTTGCACCTGGCCGGCCTTCGTGTCTCTCTGTGCCACGCCCAGATAACCGTCCCAGACACGCAGGCCGCCCTCCTCTCTTTGGACCTTCCACCCGGGGCAATGGGCTGGCTTGGCCCAGGACCCCAGACGGGGGGCTTCCCCCACTCAGGGAGGCCAACTGGCTCCCCTGGAACCCAGCCCACTCCCCAGTGGAGCCAATGCGGATTGCCTGGCCAAAGACCGGGCCGGGGGGGGGCTTGTGTGCTTCACCCGGAGTCAAACCTTAAATGGCCGTCTGGGGGTGGGAGGAGGCGCCTGTGCCCTGGTGAGGTTTCTTTTTCCCTTGTGGGGAGAAATGGGGGGGGGTCCCCTGGGAAATACATAGGGTGGGGGAGTTAGGTTCTCGGGGGGCCCAGGGGCTAAATGTGGGGTCTGGACAAACGGGAGCTGGACCTCTGCAGTGGGTGCCATGAAAAGCGGATTCATTGTTGCCAAATGGGAATGCCGGAATTGAGCCCCCCCCCACTCCTTCCTGTGTTCGGCTTGCACCCCCAATGAGGACGGGGGAGACCTCCCTGATGCTGAGGGGGGGGGCCTTCCGTCCACCACAGGAGCCCAGAGGCAGGGAAGAAGTTGGCCTTGCCTGGCGGCGGCCGAGCCTCTTGGCAGAGAAGGCAGGGGACCGGCCCAGGCAGGTGCCCGCAGCTACTTCCCTGAACGGTCTCCAGGGTGACCCACAAACCCTCCGCCCTCCTGAGGAGAGGAAAAGGCTCCTCGGCTCCCTCCTTGGCTTCCCTGGCCAGCCGACCGGCTTGCTTTCCCTCCCCTCCCCAGGAAGGGCTCCCCAGATGCCCCACCACGTCCTGGGCAGCCGTCCGATGTGGCTCTGTTGCTCCCCCCATGCACGAAGCAGGCGTGGTCTTCCGAGAGACGGGCATGAAAGTCCTGACCCTTGGATGGACCGAAGAGCAAAGGGGGCTCCTAGGAAGCCCCCCAAGGCCGGGGAAGGGGGCCGAAGGGAAGGCCGGTTGTTTGGCTCTCCAGAGACCCGGCCTTCCTCCCTGGACTTCAGGGGCTCTGGGGCCGTGAGAGGCTGAGAGGGCGGCCAGAGCTCCAGGAAACCCACAGAAACTGGGCTTACACGGGTGGAATCTGGGCAAAGGCGGCTGGTCCTCCTGACCCCACAGAGGGATGCCTGGGAGGGCAACCTGGGCTTCTTCTCCTCCGGCCTCCGACCTCCTCCTCCTCCGAGCATGGCCCTGCCTCGGTCTCTCTCAGCCTCCCTTGGCCTCCACCCAGCGGCTTTTGGCCCCCTACGCTGGCCTGACCCCCCTCTCTGGGCACGGAGGCCCCTGCAGGATCTCCGTCGGGCGGAGGCTGCTCTGGGCTGAGGGTACAGGCCGGCCCTCTGCCCACCCCCAGAGGAGACCCCTGGTGGCCCTGGATGCCCGTGGGTCCACCTCCATCTGCCTGGCCCCCTCGGGAGGGGTCTCCCAGCCTGGGTCCGGCTTCTGCCAGGGGGCCAGAGGGGGAGGGGGCTTGAGCACTAGGCTGAGGGAGAGCAGGCTCTGGGCAGCCTTGAACCCAGGACCCGCAGCAGTCCACAAGGCCCCAAAGTGCAGGGAAACGGGGGGGGGGCTCTGCAGGAGAAGGTCGTCTGGACGGCTGGGAAGGGAGGCTGCCATGGGGCACCCCCTCGGAGGTCCCTCCCACAGGCCACGCTTCCTCCACCGGATCCTGCCCTCCGCCCCACGCCTGCCTGCCTTTCCTGGGGGGCGGGGGGGGGGAGAAGGGAGGAAGAAGCCTCCCCCTGCTTGGGAATTCTCCTGCATCCCAGGCAGCGTGGGAAAATGTGGGACAGCCCCCCCTCCCTCTGATCTGGCACTCGGCCAGGGATGGGCTTCCAGGGGAGAGCCTGGGCCTTGGGGGAGCATCACGGGGGTCCCTGGGGAGCTGATCTCTTCCCTGGTGCCTTGCTGAAGCCCCCACTCCATGCACCTAGAGCGGCCTGCCCTCCTTGGGAAGCCCTCCTGAACCCTCCCCTGCCCAGATCTCAGATGTTCCCCATCGTGGGGGGGGGCGAGGGGGGACCCAGGCGTTCTTCATCAGGGAAGCATCTCAAAAATGCGAGGGGGAGTTTATTGTTTCTTGGCGCTGTTGTTGATGGGAGATCAGCCAGGAGAGGCACGCAAGCTCCCCCCCCCCCTTCCTGTCCTGCTCAGGCCGAGGAAATTCCACTGGCGGATTCAGTCCCTGGATTGGGGGGGGGGAGAGGGGAGGAATCCAGAGTGACTTTCTTTTTTGTGGCGGAAAAACCTCCAAGGGTTTGAAAAGGGAAGACGAGGGCGGCTCTTCCTGCTTCCAGGGAAAGATCCGGGGGAGGGAGGGGTCCAAGTGGGGGTGTGGAGAAGGGGGTCCCAGGATTGCCTCTCCCCACCCCAGCTGGGCCTAGGCAGCCTCTCCAACTGCCTGATCCTCTGTGTCTCCTGGGACCAAACCTTCCTCTCTCCCCCTGAAGAGGAAGGGCCAGGAGATGGCACGGGGGGGGGGGGGGAAGCTTGGCAACGGGGGGGCAGCGCCCAATCCCCCAGCGTTTGGGGGGGGGCAGATGAGACTTGGGCTGGTTTGCAACCCGGGTGGCATGGCTGCTGGGTACCAGAGAGCAGGGATTAGAAGCACAGGCATGTCCCAACAGCCCCGGTGCCCAGCTGCAGGCAGGCTGGGGAAGACGGGAGGTCGTTGGGCTCCCAGCCGTTCCGAGGGCCCGGGGTGGGGGAGGCAGCTGCCTGCTGAGCCTGAGAGTGGCCCCCTTGAGTGCGGTGGGGCTCTGGGTCGGATCCTCTTGCCGGGTTTTTGGTAGATGATGGTGGCGGGTAGCTAAAGCAGCCGGTGATGGCAGATCTCCTGGCAGGAAGTTTCTGAAGTTTCTGCCAAGCCCCGACTTCCTGCTGCGCTGCCAGCCCCGAGGCAGAAGGGGGGGGCTTTCACCTGGGGGGGGGGGCAGGGAAGGTTCTGATTCTAGAGCCAGGCTTCTCCCGTCCCCCGCGGCCTCTAAGCCCCCTTCAAAGTCCCTTCTAGCTGAGGGGCATCTCGTTCTCCCCAGCCTGGGCATCTTTTCAGGGGGGGGGGCAGGAAGCCATTTCCCCCCAAGACGCCATCCGTGAGAAAGATGTGGAGCCAGGACTTTGCGGGGTCTTTCCCCCTCTGTGTGTGTCTGTCTCTGGATAGTTAATGCAGAAGAGAGTTTTGGAAGAATTGGCCGTTGGGGGTTTCTAGTCCACAGAGAGTAACAGAAGCAGGGGAAAAAGTCCGTTATTTAAGTCACCAATTGGGACTCTGGGCAGGCTGAGGGAGAGAGGAGAGTTTTTTTAAAAAATGCCATTTAAATAAAATCTGGAAGTTGTCATCAAATGAATTTGCTGTGACATTCGGATAAGTGGTACTTTATTTGACACCTGTTTTAGACATAGAGGGAAAGAGAGAGAGAGCGACTCGTAAACAATATGGACTAGTGTTGTGCAAAACCAAGTCACCCTCAATGGGCCCGTGGTGGTGTACAGTGGCTGGGCTATGGGATGTAAGGGAGGCTGGTGCCCACCCCTCTCAGCTCAGGGAGCAAAGGGGGCTCCAGAGTGATGAGGCTGTTCCGTTTTTGAATCCCTCTTACAAAATCCAGCCCAAGGGGCCAAGGGGATTCTGGGGGTTGAAGTTCATTCATGTGCCCTCAGGTCGCTTGGCAGATGGGGACCAATGGAGGCCCCCAACGTGCCAGGGGGCTTCCCAGTGAAGGAAGGGGGCAGCTGGTCTTCCTCCCCTTGGGTCTGCCTGGGGGATGGAGGGGAGGGGAGGAGGAGGAAAGGGAGGGGGAGGCCCGCTCTCACCACTGGCCCCCATTCTCTCCCCCCCCCCAGTCCTCCTGCGGGAAGAGGTCAGCCAGCTGCAGGAGGAGATCCACTTGCTGCGTCAAATGAAGGACATGCTGACCAAGGACCTGGAGGAGACGCACGGGGGGGACAAGGCCTCCGAGATCCTCCCGGCCACCGAGCTCAAGGTCCAGCTGGCCCAGAAGGAGCAGGAGCTGGCCAGGGCCAAGGAAGCCCTGCAGGGTAAGAGACCCTTCCCAGGCCCCTCAAAGCCCCCCCGGGGACAGCCGGGATCGGCCAACCCCACCCCCCCTGGGAGCCTTCAGGGGAGCCAGCGGGGGGGGGGGTGTTGCCCCAGTGCCATTCAGGTGGGCTCAGGGAAGAAGGGGGCCAAAAGGGCAGTCCGGGGCCCCTAGCCCCCCTCCCACCCCAGCATACTGCGGCTATCAGACAGCTACCCACCTTCTGACCCCAGGTACCCCCCCCTCTAACTTCAAACGGTCATTAAACAAGTGGCTGTAAGGCGAGGACTGTAAGAGGAGGAAGCCTTTGGGAAAGTCAGATTTCAATTTAAATTCAATTCAATTTATTAGATTTATAGGCCGCTCAATCCCGGAGGACTCGGGGGCCGCTTGAGGCCAAAGGGCCCCCCCTCCCCACACCCACGCAGGGGCTTTAAAGGGGGAATTTAGGCAAAAGTCCCTATGAGGCCCTTGGTCAATCCCTGCCTGGGACCGATGGAGTTGAGACCAAGCAGAGACCCTCTGTGGACTCTCCCGGGGGGGGGGGGGGCTGTGTGGTGTTTTGCTCTTCGTTTCCTTGCTGTTCTAATCCAAGAGGAAAATCCCTGCTGGGGGAGGGGGCTTCCTCCCCCCCCCCCGAATGAAACATGAGAAGCAGTTGTGCTTCTTCCAACTGAGGGAGAAGACCCCCCCCCTCAATTCCTGTAATTAGTACTTTGTTTAGATTAAGGTATTCCGAAAACTCCCCCCTCCCCATAAAGGCTGCCCATCACTTCCAGCCGTCAAAGGCCTCCATCAGTTAAACTAAGGAAGCCCCCCCCCTCGGTCCAGAAAAGCAGTTACAGGCCTCCAGCGTTGCCACTCCCCACCCCCCACCCCCCCCCACACACATATTGTCCTGCTGGGGTGGGAAGTTCTTGGGGCGAATGTTTCCATTAGGAGTGGGCCTGGGCCCCCTTGGTCCCCCAAGAATTGGGAAGAAATCCTAAATGCCCTCAAAGGCTTTTCTGTTTTGCCTGCTTTGGGGGGGGGGCATTTCACAGCCTTTGGGGGGGGCTCCTCGCGGCCCCACTTGTAAGAGTTCGGCTCCCCTTTTTCATCCTTCAGATTTTAGAAGCCCAGAGCTAAAAGTATTAAGCCATTAGCTTGGGGGGGGGGGGAAAGGGGGGGGGGGGGGGGGGGGGGGGGGGG